TGTGCTGTGCTGTGCTGTGCTGTACGCAGTTATATGTCAGTCAGGGATTGGCAGAATACTTGAGAATCGTTGAGAACAACACTACTACAAGTTGTGCCTCTCTTAAGACTTCTCTAGTGTTCTGCCAATTCCAGCGTGCTTTATAACTGTACACAGCACGAGTACGCGTTTTGAAGTTCTTTAACAGACCTCTTTAGCTCTGGCGCAAAGTTTCTCTATCTCAGACCACGTGCCATTCCTTGAGGGTATCATTTCCTTGTTAAAGGTTGTGAGGAAACACATGAATATAAATACGGGCAAAGTCGCAGCTCTAAGAAGATCTAACCCAATTGCATAGATATAGAGCGAAAAACATAACAAACAAACCAATAGAACGAGTCGACAATGAAAWYTWTTGTTTGTTTKGGCCAATCTCGACAGCTCTTCTTAGCGGGTGCGACATTACTGGCAACTAAAACAAATAATCTTATTTYTAAGYTAATGRCACGTGGTGAAARTRTTACGCCCAAGCTAAAGAGGTCTATTTTTAAAAAAATTAATCGATAAAATGTTTTACCGGTAAGTCATAAAACGTGAAGTTTCCATACTGTTCAACGAGACAGCGTGATTTGTTGTGGAAGCTATCCAGGGTTTTCTTGGTCCACCATTGTACGAAATTACCATCTTTGTCGTACATCTTGCCTGTGAATGAATTTAAACAATGTCACGTCGTTATGAGTCATTCCGAGGTTAAGGAAAAGACTGGGTCGAGGTGGCATTGCAATGGATTGTGGGGCTGTTTTTTCAATATTTATATAGGCACATCTAGTTTAGCAAAGGTAGCTTAAATAGATTTTTAGGGGACAAAATAGACGCCATAAAAGAACTATGTCTTCAAAAACATCTCTACCTCTGTCATCGAAGCCATGTGTCAGTTCATGGGCCATAATACTTCCAATAGCACCATAATTAATAGCTCTAACAAAAAAGATATTAAATATTAAAATAATATCAGACATTAATGGTTTGCAATGCAAAATGCTTCATGATTCGTATCAGTGGTGAATCTCATGGAAGTGCTTCTCATAGTGTCAGCCAGTTTAGAAAAAATAAACATTGTACGTACCTGATATATTTAGAATCGTAAAATGGAGATTGCAGCACCCCTGCTGGAAATACTGCAAAGAAAAAAATAAAAAGGGGGTAAAAAAGGCTTAAGATACCTAAATAATCAAAAAGTATACGACAATTCCTCAATTTGGAATTACAGCGCAACGCGCAAAAGTATGACCACATTTAACGTAGTCGTATAGTTCTATGGACTGGCTTTTGGCTACCAAATGAGATTTAATCGCCTTATTTGGTAAAACCAGCCAGTTTCGCTTAGAAATATGCTGGTTTAACTTACAAAACCCTTGCATAGAAGTATGCGAATGCATTAAATGTGGTGATACTATTGCGCGTGCGCTGTAACCAATCGTGGCCAATGATATGCGTGGGATTTGAGGGACGATGATAGAGGAAGCTTGAGGTGGACCTGAGTTTGTATACTTCTATCTATTCTAATCTTTATACAAATCCTCCCCTCCCCTCCCCTCCCCCCCCAATCTCTCTTTCTCTTGTTCTCTTTTAACCAYGTAAAGTCAGTTGCCCTAGGTGTTTGACTGGGTTGTACACAGGTTTCCTTCATGCGACAAGACTTTTGAATGGAAGATCAATCGGAACAATACGATRAATTAGTAATATATTGTCAAACTAACTTACCCATTTTGTTTTCACTGTATGAATAATATGCATTTAGCATGGTTGGCGGGAAAGGCCATCTAAAAAACGCAAACCATAGAAAAAATAAATAGTAAATGARATTCATCAGGGGCATTCCTACGGTACGTCACCGCTACGCCACCCGTGTTCTCAGCATAGCCATTGACTGATTCGTCTTGGTGCAATGTTTAACCTTATCAGACCGCGTGTCATTCTCTTTAGAATAAAATTCTTTGTTTGAGCTGTACCATTTCCATATATCTTCTCATGCAGAACTATTAGACAAAGCAATGACACTCCAGGGAATGACACGTGGTCTGCTATTTTGTAATTAARAAAAGTTTAATCAAATGTATTCTCTACTTTCACATCCCCATAATGCCTTGCGT